AGCGCGTTTGAACATTAAGACCCGGTGGACTGGCGGCCATCTTGGATTTGACCTCTCAGGTCCTCCCTCCACATCTGAAAATATACATCATGGTATATACTAACTATGCTAGAAATTTCATGCTTTTCTCATAAAATGCACAATTGTTATAATATGAGAGCTTATCAACTGTACTAATACCTTAAGTTAAGGAGGGAATTTTCCCCCTTCTTTTACACCTCTTGACCTTTGTCCTTTGACCCCCAGCTTCGACATCCCAACTCGTTTTGACGATCACCCCCGACGTCCCAAATATCGTGACCGTACGTCAAGCGGTTAAGATTTGTGCCCAACTGTTGACGGACGGACGGACGGCCGGACGCACGCACGGACGGACGGACGATCGTGCGATTCTACAAGATGCATCCGACTTCGTCAGATGAGCTAATAACAACATGAACAAGGTGTGGCCTTCTACTTACCACCCCCTCTCCCCGAAGCCCGTTTCATTGCTGTTCTGAATGGCATTGCAAGAGTTGTCGTGAGATTCTCGAAGTTTTCCGCCAAACTGTTGTTCGTGTACCAGTTGACGAGGTCCTGTTAATAGCAAGCAGGTGCAGACTTTAATATAGCACACACAAACTACCAACCCCCGACGCTTTTCATTGTGTCTGATGGTAGGACGTATTGCTACTGTGTACAAAATGGAATCCCACCCTGTTGCTACCTGTGATTCTCACAGGGCACTTCCAGAGATGCTACAGGGTGGTTCCAAAAAATGCTGACCTATTAAGTAGTGACCAATTAAAGCGTAGCGAGCGGAGCACGTCACGGCCAAGGGGGTCCAGGGGACCGCCTTAGGGCAGGGCCCCTGGGTTTTAGTGCTTTTAAAATACTTATTTCGTGCAAATCGAAAGCTCCTTAATCATGGTTCATACAGGACTGAAAAAATTTCAAAGGACATTTTATCGGAAATTCAAGGACATTTTATCGGAATTCAGACCCAGAACAAAACATACCTGGATTAATTTAATAATAACCCCATTCTTAATAACTGTCACATCTAAAACTTACCTGGATCACATTAATAACCCCTTCTAAACACTGTCACTTCTACAACATACCTTGATTTACTGACTGATTTTTACTGATTTACTGTAATTTGTGATCATCATTTAACTGTCTATCATGTCTATAGCTTTTTAAGCTCATTTAACGCAATTTTTATTGAGGTTTGCACATTATTGATGGTACAAAATTTCTTTTTATTACAGGCAAGGATTCTTTCTAAAAATTCAAGGACATTTTCATGAAATTCAAGGACATTTTCATGAAATTCAAGGACATTTTCATGAAATTCAAGGACTTTTCAAGCACAAAATCAACATTTACTAAATTCAAGTACTTTTCAAAGACTCCCCTCAAATTCAAGGACTTTTCAAGGACTGTGCGAACCATGTTAATGCTAAATATAATGCGCTAATTCGCAATGATGAAAATCCCTTCTAAACAGTGTTATTTTAGGTTTGATTTTCAGGATTTTTCAATCAGATTTTTTCCCGATTTTTTTTGAACTTTTTATAAAAATCCGGATTTCCGGTAAAATCCGGAAATGTAGCATCTCTGCACTTTTAGCAAGTGGGTACTTAACAAGTAGCCAGGTTCTTACCAGTAAAGAGGAGAAGCTTCTCGATTCAGCGAGATACCATGTCTCTTTCGGCGTCTTCTTATATACTACCTTGATATGCTTGACTGAGCCTTCATATCTACGAGAAAGTAAATGTTTACTGTGGATTATAACAATACATTTGCAATTCTACTCATACAATTTCAGGGCATAAAATTAGCCAAAATGTAAACATGCCCACCCAAAATTTTAAACAGGCCCTTACAAGTTTTAACAGGCACTTAAAGCGTGTATTGCAAGTTTTTTTGGCTCAGAAAAACTAAATATAGCTGAATATAGTCTCACCTGACAGTGGAAATATCACTGAATATACCAACATTCAAAACATCAAGATTTTATGCAGTTATAGCATAGAAAAATTGATTTGACCACATCATACCAGCAATAAATTTTATCGTGTCCCGACTCTCAAAATCACAAATGGCGTCTTTAAACAAGTGCACATAATTAAAATAAAAGGGCGTGCAATACTGTTTGATAAATATTATTGAGTTTTTATGTCAATAATTCAGAGCACTTTCTGTCATTGTCATTCCCGTGTTACTATCTGACTGGCAATCCACAAGCTTCTCTAATAACAGACTTTACGTGGCATTAGTACTACACTGCTGTTACGCTAGTATAAACGTCTGTGGGTACACTCTGACCTAATTTCTACGGTGCGACGGTATTCATTACTGCACCGTGATAGATGTCTTGCGCTACCGCGAGAAAGTCCGAGAGATGGCAACGGTAAACAGAAACAGAATGCAAAATTGTAATCGTGCATGATTTCATTGGATTTGGTGAAGGTTCTAAGACATTTTATCGTTACTCTAGACAATTGCTGTTACTCAAGCAATAACGGTAGGTATCATGAAAGTAGGGAAAACACTGGAAAATTCTCGCAATACACGCTTTAATTTTGTTCAATTTATTCGATTATTAATAAAAGTATTAGCTTTGTGTTTATTAGGCATACTCGTAGTATTTCAGTATTTCATTGCTATCATTGGAGTTCTACTTGTTTGACAGGAATTGCTGGAACATGATTTACTTCTTAGTAGTTACTACGTAAAACCTAGTCAGGAAATTGGTAAATATCGTTGATATAAAGGCAAGATAGGCAAAATTTTGAATAGGCCAAGTTGACTGATTATATGTGGGGTTGAACCGGCAGCCGCCGGCAAAATAGCACTAATTTCGCGCACTGCAATTTAGATAGCCATAGATATAAATGTAGAATATAAAGCCCGCCGAACACACTGTAGAACTTGATGCGATGGCGCAGCAAGTTCCACAGCGTGTGCGGATGCAAAATCCCTCGATCTGCGTCGTGTGGAAAATATCACACGTGTTTGATATTTTCTTCTACGTGTGAAAGATTGAACAGCGTGTGCGGAGTGGCTGTGTAAATTTCCACACTCAATTCGCATTGTTCTTGATTGTTCGCTTGAAAACGGAGCGTCATTGAAGAGAGCGTTCACACGACGTTTGATCGATCAGTTCTTGGACATGCCTCTATGTGAGCTGCCTGATATGCGAGCTGCGAGCTGAGAAAAAAATTACTATGCGTCCAAGCGAACAATCAAGCGAACAATGCTAATTGAGTGTGGAAATTTACACAGCCACTCCGCACACGCTGTTCAATCTTCCACACGTGGAAAAAAATATTAAACACGTGTGTGATATTTTCCACATGACGCAGATCGAGGGATCGTGTGGACGATGGCGCAGTAAGTTCCACAGCGTGTGCGGCGGGCTTAACAGTTGCTTTGGGAACATCAGGACACGTGCTGTACAAAAACAGTTTTCCACCATGGTCCCCACGTAAAGCAACATTTCATTAGATTACATTTTATTGCTTTGCCCCCACTCTATTTAAAAATGTGGTTGTACAAGCCTTTCCATTAATAGGTAACTCCAAGTAAAACTGTTAGCAAGAGGAAACTCAGTAAATTCAATCCACTGGTATACCCCACAACGGCTTTAGTAAAATGTCAGTTAGATGCAAGACAGCCATGGTCCTTTAAGTCACAGGTCAACCTATATATTCTATGGAAACATGGGAGCAAGACAAAGAGCACAGGGAGGAGCAGGGGCAGTGAGAGTCGAGTGATACATTCCATAGCAACACCTGGTATAGTGGTCCTTGCTTTATCAGGCCTCAGATAAATCAACACATTGCTTAAGCAACGTCATTGGGAAACAATCCCTACGCTCGAATGTTATTTTAATCGGATAAACGGGACAGGACCTAGAGTAAAGAAGATAGATACAGTTTCTGCAGAAAAACTCAAGTTAACATTGTAAAACGATCCTACGCTTATACTGACAAGTAAGGTCAAAAACAAATACTGACTAAAACGAAGCAAACTGACATTTATCAGCTGGATTCTGAATATAATGAACAATACATTTTTAGAGCAAAACTCATGTAGTTTGAATGGTGCCTGGTGTGTACAGGTGATTGCATAACAGACAGGTAGGCACACATGTGCCATTGGAAATGTGTTCATCACTTAATCGGTACCATCTGCCTAATCAGGACATTTCAATGGTTCCTAACCTGTCTCAGTAAAGCAGAGAATATTGTACATGGAAGCAGAAGGAGCGCGTAGAGGAGGAGGGATTGGATGAGAATAGCCACCAAATGTCTTAGCTCTCCAACTCACTTGATGGCGATTCTGAAACCACGGTCAGTGACATTCTTTCGAACGAGAAAAGTCTCATCTGGCATCAGCTCCAGCCTCCGCTGCGCAGCATCCTTGTCCATCTCGCCAACATACCTGCCCCAAAATGCACACAAGTGTAAGTGTAAAAGCCACAGCATGGCTTCACAAGCTCACACGCTTCTAAATACTCAGCAGAGAGAGCCATCCATTTTAAATTCAGTAAACCTGAGAGACACTTCACCTGTTACCTTCAGCTGAGAAGTCGACTCAGGGTTATTAGTAGTAACACTACTAGTAATGTCACTAAAGACATGAAGTATCCTGTTCTCGCACCAGCAAAATCCTTGCCTGTAAGAACATCCTTACAAACAAAGACACAACCCATAACATACGCGGCGGCGATAGCAACACGTTAGGCCTACTGTACAAAATTACTAATGCATCGATCTGTGGTTTCACCTACCAAGGCTGATGTTCAAGATCCAGGTTATAGTAATTGTGGCTGGAGTCAAGATTGTTGGCTGCGCCGGCAAGGTTCAGTGGCTCCGCCTGTAGGTAACCAGCTTGAGGTTTGATACGATCAGCTGGTACCACCTGCAAATCGAACATGGCACAAGCAGTCTTTAATTTGACAGCCGTAGTTATGACGTAATTTTACTGCAGCATGGTTATTTCTACTTTATCATTCAAGTAGCTGCTTAGCAGTAGATATTCAACAGAATTGTTACTTTCAGAAAATTAATATGAATTATAATACATAATGTAATGCCATAAATATTCATAAGAGAAATAATTGGTCACTAGCAGCAACAAGAAATGTTCATTCGCACCTTGACGGCGTGAGTGCGAGGGAAAAGGCCTTGGAGGCCCGTCCTTAAGCAGTGGCCCTGCCACAGTGGCTCTGGTTCGTTAGAACTCAACAGCAGCACAACGTCTCCTTCATTTAATGATATGTGTCCTGGTATTGTTGACTGATATGGCTGCGTAATCTTGTATTTACCTGCAGATGCAATCGTAATTTCAAAAATTCTGGTTTTTAAAGTTTACTGAAGTCCATTCTGTGCTAAAATCAACCAGGCATTTAGGACTCACAGGTGTAGTTCACAAGAAACTAATGTCAGTGTGGGAAACTCACCTAGGTGTGCTCTTGGTTCCACCGTTGGCGCTAACGAATTGTTCGAGTGTGATCGTTTGCCACATTTGCTTCCGAGAATGCACTCCTTGTGCACTGCCGCATTGCAGATGGGGCTCATGCACTTGTAGCCTTGGCAAAATGTGCCACTGTAATTTGTAGTAGTAAGTACAGTCACGCATTCATGGTCACACATCACTGTGCCCTGCATTACCTATTTGTGCCACCTGCAGGTATGAATTTGTACATCTGGCCAGAAGCAGAATTGTTCTGTGCAACTCTCATGCTAAACTAAACACATGGCTAGGAAGTCTCGGTTTAATTTCACTTAAAGATGTAATAACAGAAGAAAGACGCGTACAGTCCCTGTATTAGCACTGGTCAGTGCTACCAACTGTAGCATATTGTTAATCTATTGTCACCTACCGTAGTAGCTTGTTGCAAACCGTACACGTGGTAGGCACTTCGAATGAATGGAGTTGGAAACGGTGGCTCGTGTTCTTCAGATCGTCGGGCTGAGTGTTATCCCTGTGAAATCAAGACAATATTAGCAAGGCACCACCAAACACACTGAAGCTACATTTGTGAATCATGCAGACAGCAACACACCTGCAGCAATTTTCTTAAAGTAATAATTACAAGAATTCTCCAGTGTTTTCACCACTTTCATACCTACTGTTATTGCTTGAGTAACAGCAATTGTCTGGAGTAACGATAAAATGTCTTAAAACCTTCGTATTCACCAAAACATGCACTTTTCGAACTAGTCTGGCAAACGATCGTTTGCTGTAATCTTGGGACTAGAGCCGGTAGGTCTTGGACCAGCTAATAGCGCCCCCTATCTGCCATAGACATACAATCTATCTCAAATGCAGTTGTTTTCAATTTTATCACCGACAATTTACAAGTTTACCCATTCTGCCATTCTCGCGACACGATAAAATGCGTTGCTGTTACGTATGTTATAACTGCATAAAATCTTAGTGTTTTACAAGATGGTGTGATCAGTGTATATCCGGCACCCGGCAGTTAGATGCGATATGATATGACTACTAGGCACTTAGAATATGACTACTAGACACTTAAAAAAAAACAACCCTAACCCTAACCCTAACCTAACCTAAACCCTAAACCTAACCTAAACCCTAACCCTAACCCTAAAAAAATTAAATTAAATTAAAGTGCCTAGTAGTCATATCATATCGCATCTAACTGCCGGTTGCGTATATCCGCCGTGGAGCGAGACTATATTTTGCAATATTTTTTTCGGATTGAGTGTTTCTGAGCAAGAATCTCGTAATACAGGCTTTAAAGCCTGCGACCATTTTTAATCAGAATCTGCCAACGCTAGCTTATTTCCTCAGTAATGCCACATAAATGCACACAGTCTCCTTAGCGACATCTCCCACTCACTGTGCCATATGTATGGCGTCAATCCACTTCCGCTTCACCTCCTCTGTTTTGGCATACATGTGGAAGGCCATCGTCCTCTGTTTCTCATACATCACCCAGCAGTGGCTCCACTGAAAATAATAATGTCATCAAATATTTTGAAGTATACCATCGTCTTCATAGCTTGGTGGCAGTCCACTTCACATTGTTCTTGCCCTCCTCCTCTCCACTTCCCACCATATCCTCCACCTCTACGAATTAGCCAGTATAATACAACACTAGTGCTTTTATTACCTTATTATTTAAACATAAATTTAGTTTATTTATGTTTTTGAATGTATAAGATATATTTTCTATAAAAATTTCTTAGAAATAATATGCTGTACAGTACACAATCCATTATCCGAAACCCTTGGGACCAGACACGTTTCGGAATTCGGAATTTTTCGGATTTCAGAATGGTAGTCGTAGTACAGTACAGATATACATACCGTATATCCTGCAACTAGCCAGTACTAAAACCAGGGTTCGAATTTTGGCTGAAAATCCAGATGAGACGGGATACTAGAGAAGCGTTGCCGAAAGGAGGTGTTGATCCCAAGCGCTATAAGCGCAGATCTTGCGCGCAGTTCCGCGGCAAGGCGCACGCGACCGCGGGAACGTCCTACGACAGTATGCAGCGCTGGCAGCTATGGATTCGTGCGCCGAATGCATAGGCCGGCGCACGAATCCATAGCTGCCAGCGACCACTCGATAATTTTACCGGGAATACAATGAAACAGCTCAGCTGCATTGAGCTGCTGTTCTTTGCAAGTTCAATGAAAATATCTATAAACGTGTCAACACCTTCTACTTCTACACTGTGTTGTATAAGTTTTATTATGAATTGTATTTTATTATGCGTCAGTGGCTTCATGTAACGAGCGGCAGCTGCAGCGGATACATAAGCTGGGTTTTATAATAATATATGCGGAAATAATACGCCTCTATTCATGTAAATAGAAATGTTCACCTATATATACAAACAATGACGACGTAATAATCACATATAATTGAACACAGCCAACCCCCACCAACCTGCTCCGTCCCCATATTATTGCCGATAGCCGTAATCCTAGCCGTTCAGCTAGTTGTTGAACGTTAATTTTACCAGGAATACAATGAAACAGCTGAGCTGCATTGAGCTGCTCTTCTTTGCAAGTTCAATGAAAATATCAATAAAAGTGTCAACACCGTCTACTTCTACACTGTGATGTATAAGTTTTATTATAAATTCTATTTTATTATGCGTCAGCGGCTTCATATAACGAGCGGCAGCTGCAGCGAAAGCATAAGCTTGGTTTTATAATATAATAATACATGCGCAAATCATATGCCTCTATTGATGTACATAGAAATGTTCACCTATATACAAACAATGACGACGTAATAATCACATAATAATCACATAGAGGTAGCCTAGCTAGTATGTTGAGTATATCCTAGGCGTTGTTGATAGCCGTAGGAGTCGGTGCTATATATGCGTATATATAGGGGTTGGACCGTGAAGGTAACTGCGAGCAGGCGAGTTCCAAGTTTTTCTGCGAAGTTTTTCTGCACAAGAGCAATCAGGGCCCCCCCTCGACCGCAGGGGTAGACGAAGTTTTTGCTATAAGCAGCACGCTGGGACGATGTAATATATATATGCAAAAATGCTGTACGTACGCTCTCAAAACGATTTCAAAACAAATACTCATCCAACAGCTTCGATATTTGTTTCTATTTGAAGAACAGTGTTGACTTCTTATGAAAACATAATGTCTCTGTTCGTAACCGAGCTGTGTCACGCGAAATCACACAGAGACTGACGAAATTCTCGCCACGACGCCACGCCACGCGCTGACGCCACGATATATCCTCTAACTATCACGTGATAATCAGAACACAGCTCGTTACGAACAGAGACATTATGTTTTCATAAGAAGTCAACACTGTTCTTCAAATAGAAACAAAGATCGAAGCTGTTGGATGAGTATTTGTTTTGAAATCGTTTTGAGAGCGTACGTACAGCATTTTTGCATATATTACATCGTCCCAGCGTGCTGCTTATAGCAAAAACTTCGTCTACCCTGCGGTCGAGGGGGGGCCTTGATTGCTCTTGTGCAGAAAAACTTCGCAGAAAAACTTGGAACTCGCCTGCTCGCAGTTACCTTGACGGTGCAACCCCTATATATACGCATATATAGCACCGACTCCTACGGCTATCAACAACGCCTAGGATATACTCAACATACTAGGCTACCTCTATGTGATTATTATGTGATTATTACGTCGTCATTGTTTGTATATAGGTGAACATTTCTATGTACATCAATAGAGGCATATGATTTGCGCATGTATTATTATATTATAAAACCAAGCTTATGCTTTCGCGGCAGCTGCCGCTCGTTATAGAAGCCGCTGACGCATAATAAAATACAATTCATAATAAAACTTATACATCACATGTAGAAGTAGACGGTGTTGACACTTTATTGATATTTTCATTGAACTTGCAAAGAAAGCAGCTCAATGCAGCCAGCTGTTTCATTGTATCCTGGTAAAATTAACGTTCAACAACTAGCTGAACGGCTAGGATTACGGCTATCGGCAAAATATGGCGACGGAGCAGGTTGGTGGGGGTTGGCTGTGTTCAATTATATGTGATTATTACGTCGTCATTGTTTGTATATAGGTGAACATTTCTATTTACATGAATAGAGGCGTATTATTTCCGCATATATTATATAAACCAGCTTATGTATCGCTGCAGCTGCGCTCGTTACATGAAGCCACTGACGCATAATAAAATACAATTCATAATAAAACTTATACAACACAGTGTAGAAGTAGAAGGTGTTGAACACTTTATAGATATTTTCATTGAACTTGCAAAGAACAGCAGCTCAATGCAGCTGAGCTGTTTCATTGTATTCCGGTAAAATTATCGAGTGGTCGCTGCAGCTATGGATTCGTGCGCCGCGCCTATGCATTCGGCGCACGGATCCATAGCTGCCAGCGCTGCATACTGTCGTAGGACGTTCCCGCGTCGCGTCGCGTGCGCCTTGCCGCGGAACTGCGCGCAAGATCTGCGCTTATAGCGCTTGGGATCAACACCTCCTTTCGGCAACGCTTCTCTAGTATCCCGTCTCATCTGGATACGTTGTCTAATCTATTTCTACTGATCTGTGCACTGAGATTCATTGATGTCTGTGCAAGCGTCTTATATCTGTTGGCTGTCAAAGCACTTGAGCGTTCAATAAAATTATAATGCTAAATAAATACAAATTTTTAATGTTCTCGACTCTCTTTCACCTATTATTGCCGACAATTTCCTGTAAATGTCGTCAAATGTCTCATCCTGCAAACACACGCTGGCCGCCGCACGCTAGCTGCTGCACACTGACACATTAAATATATAGTGTATGTTCAAGTTTATTTTTATATATTTTATAATAATATTTTATGTGTCAGTGTCGGCAGCAGCTAGCGTGCGGTGTACTTGTGTGTTGCGGATGAGGCATTTGACCGGCATTTCCAGGTGGTTATAGGCAAAATAGAGTAGAGAAACATTAAGACTTTGGTAGTAATTACATTTCAGTGTTATTTTACCTCTTTTTTATTGCAGTCGTTCCAAGTGCCCGCTGCCAGGATCTATGTCTCCCTGATACTGCCGGAACGTACCTGGTACTATATAAGATGCCGGACCGAACGCTCGCTAATCCAAACGAGTCTAGGGAGTCGCCTACGCTACACTCACTAACCCTAAACCCTAACCCTAAAGCCTAATCCTAACCATATCAGATAGTTACCGAGGTACTTTCCGCAGTACCCAGGGAGACATAGACCCTATCAGTCTAAGTGCCTGTGTGTGTGTGGTCGGAACCATAGAAATAACACATATAGGTGCATGTCTATTTCTATGGTCGCACGAGACACATCAGACATTTATATTAATTACTACTCTCTTGCTACTATTTTATTGTATGTTATTGTATTGTTATTGTAAATTATACTATAATTTATTCAAAGTACTCGAATGCCTGTATAGTAGCATGTTTTAAAATTTTGTTATGTAGGCCTATACTGTTTTAATTATTGATCGACTTAATATGTTAGTTGGTCGGTCACCAGAGCTTACCAACGTGTAACCAGTTAGTACAAAATCTAACACTGCTGCGGATACCAGCCAGTACACAACTGGCTACGTTAGTGTGTTAGCGCATGCGCAATATCTCACCAGAGAGTCATATTTTGTAATGAATATGCATTTAAAATGGTGTAGTGATATCTGAGCACAGATTCCCTAATAAACTTTTATCGGTAGACCTATTTTATAACTAAGAGAGCGCCCTAGCATGTAGGGTACAACACACTACTATGCCCTCGCGTCCTTCCCTTGCCTCCCTGTCCTCGCTCAGCCTCCTTCTTCTTCTACCGCCCTCAGCTATCTTCCTGCGCCTTTCCTCAGTCTCCCATCCCTCTCCCCGCAGCAAGCATTATATTATGAAGTTTTCTTCAGACGGCACTGCACGCGCTAACACTGTGCGCCGCGCATGCGCAATATCTGAAAAAAATTTATTTTTAAAAGATTGATGATTTAAAATAAAGGGGTTATCCTAGCATAAAGATTATATGATAACATTCCTTCTGTAGACATCATTAAGAAAAGGAGGAAGACCTTGCATGTAAGTCCCGGCTGCGTATACCAGCCAGTACAAAATCTGGCTAACGATGTGTGTTAGCACATGCGCAATATCTCAGCCAGAGGATTATATTTTGTGCATGAATATGCATTTAAATGGTTAGTGGGTATCCAGCATAGATTTTCCCATAATAAACTTTTATCAGTAGACCTGTGTTTATAATTAGGAGAGCGCCCTAGCATGTAGGGTACAGAACACCTACTTTATGCCCTCGCGCAGCCCTTCCCTCTTGCCTCTCCCCGTCCTCGCTCAGCCTCCTTCTTCTCTACACGCGCTCTCCAGCTATCTTCCCTCCGCTTTCGTCAGTCTCCATCTCCTTCTGCCCCCCTAAGCAAGCTATATTATAAAGTTTTTCCTCAGACGGCGCTGCACGCGCTACAACGGTGCGCGTCATGCGTAATATCTCTCGAGAGCAATCGTCATTTGCAAAGATTATGCAATTTAAATGAAGAAGATTATCCTAGCATAGATTATATAATAAATTCCCATCAGCTAACATTCAATAACATAGGAGGAAGACCTCTGCAATGTAGATCGCCCGCTGCGCATAACCAGGCCAGTACACCAATCTGGGCTACTTAGTCTGTTGCGCATGCGCAAATCGTCACCAAGAGGTGTTATATTCGTGATGAATAGTGCATTTATAAATGGGTTAGTGGGTTATCTCAGTCATAGATTTCCCTAATAAACTTTTATCAGTAGACACTGTTGTATTATAATTAGGAGAGCGCCCACTAGCATGTAGGGTACAAAACACCTACTTTATGCCTTCGCGACAGCCTTGCTCTGCTCCCCTGTCCCTCGCTCAGCATCCTTCTTCTTCTACCGCCTCCGCTATCTTCGCCTCCGCCTCTCCTCAGTTCCCATCCCCTCTCCCCCGCAGCAGCTATATTATAAAGTTTTCGCTCAGACGGCACTGCAACGCGCTAACACGGTGCGCAGCATGCGCAATATCTCCGAGAGAAATCGTATTTTGCAAAGATTATGCATTATAAATAAAAGAGGAGTTACCTAGCATAGATTTCATATAATAACATTCGCTTCTGTAAGACATTATTTAAGAATAGCAGGAGACTCCTTACAAGCTAAGTTGCCCTGCTGCGCATACCAGCCATTACAGCAATCTGGCTAACGTTAGTGTGTTAGCGCATGCGCAATATCTCACCAGAGAG